CTACCCCAAACCTAATCTGTTTAATCTGCTGGTGGTGGGTGGGTTTGAGCGGGCGGGAGGCGAGCGGCCCTCCGCAGCCCGGGGCCGGGCCGAGCAGGGAAGGCCTTACCTGTGAAGCAGGCAGCTATCGAAGTAACCCCTGTCTCCGTCGAGTGAGGAAAGCTTCGCATCTCGATAACCCGTTTTAATCCAGAACTCCTTAATTTTCTGCTTTTTCATTTGATTTTGAACGGATCGGTCAATCCCATGTTTGTTTCCTGTTTGGCAAATGGAGTTTGCACTTTTTTTAAAATCTTGAACTAATTTTGTGAAAGGAGCAGTAAAAAATCCAGTCGGAGCAGGGGCCCCGTGCTGCTGCAGCTCCCCTTCCCCCATCCCCATACATGATGGGGTGCACGTAAAAACACTTTTCTGCTTCCTTGATGCTACTCATGTAAACACCGTATGAAGGTGTGCGTGCTTAGTAGTTCTGTTTGAATTGACCGTGCTAATAACGTATGCGACTAAGCACACAGGGAAGTAATAGAGGTCACCTAGCGTTGCTTTAGAAGTCTTCGCGATGAATGTCAGTGAGCAGGTTTGCTGCACGCTCAGGGAATGGCTTGAAGGTATTGATGGGATTTAATATAATTTTAACATATGCAATCAATATCTTAGTTTAATCTTAAAAACCAAACTAGAAACCAATGACTTGAGAACAGCTTTGACTATAAAAACATAAAAGGAGATCAGAATTTATTCTTAGACCATTCTTTTCTCTTATACATCGGACTGATTTACTATCAGTAGGAGCAGGATTTGTGTGCTGTACTCAATATGGCAACGTATATTTGTTTCAAGTTGAACTCTGTGGTATAAAGATATTTAACAGTGAAAAAGAATAGGGAGCAAGACAATATGAAATCTGATTTCCTTTCAAAGCCATATTTGCATAGTTTAAGGTCAGCCTTCTTCTTCAGGATGGCTTCTGTAAATTCTGGGAAGTGAGACACTTCTCCGGGAGCTTCATGTGGCTTGGGTATGA